TCGTTTTTTAAATTGGTTTTTAAACTGGGGTCATATGAGAGCATTTCATTTAGTGGTTATTTAAAAAATTTAAAACCTTGAAACTATTTCTTTGAAAATGATCCTGGGAATCCCCATGTATAAAACACACAAGGGGGAGCTGCTTGAAGTGGCAGTGGCAGAGGGAGCTCCTAGACCCATGTCCTTTGCAATTAGAAGCATGTCTGTGGAATTTTAGGATTGCTTCTGTTGAATGTTCTTTGAAAGTTTCTGATTATCTCTTCACTTTAGAGATAGACTGAGGCCAAAAGAGGCAAAGTGGCTGGGGCAGTTTGGACTAGTGACTGGTCTCCAGCTTCCAGGGGTTCTGCCAATCTTACAGGTGAGAATCTGTCCTGGAAAGTCCAAGTATCTTTTCTGCTTCTCTCAGCTTTATTCCTCTGAATTTTACAGAAATTAAAGATTCTGTTCAAAGCAGTTCTGTGTGGTAGATAATTTTTTTTCTAAAATATTTTATTGGCATTCAAAGTTTTTAAAAAAAAAAAATAGTATGAGCTCATTATAAAAATTTCCATTAATATAGGAAGTGAAAAATTTTAAAAAGCTGCAAATTGGCATCATCCTCTCATTCTCAACCACTAAGTCCCCAGGGGTGTCTCCTGTTGACAGTTGATGGCGTATCCATCCTGATCATTCTGATGAACACACAAACATGTATGCTTCTCTCCCCACATAAGTGGGACTATAATAATTCATTTCTCTCCCTGTTTATTTTCCCATTCCCCTCACAACCTCTTATATGTAATTTTGTATAACAATGAGGGTCTCCCTCCATTACCATGCAATTTCCCTTTTCTCTCCCTTTCCCTCCCACCTTATGTCTCTGTTTAATGTTAATCTTTTCTTCCTGCTCTTCCTCCCTGCTCTGTTCTTAGTTGCTCTCGTTATATCAAAGAAGACATTTGGTATTTGTTTTTTAGGGATTGGCTAGCTTTGTAGTTTTTTGTTTGTTTGTTTTATTAGTTGTTCAAAACATTACAAAGCTCTTGACATATCATATTTCATACATTAATTCAAGTGGGTTATGAACTCCCATTTTTACCCCCATTACAGATTGCAGAATCACATCGGTTACACAATATGAATATGTAGTTTTTAAGTTATTACACTTTAGAAAGTAATTGTAAACACCAAAATCACACACACAAAAAATAGTTGATATCTTTATGTTGTTAGGGAATTTGACTCTAGTGAAAATGGACCCACATGTAATCAAGTATCTATAAACAAAATATTTGATAAAGCATTACTGTGGTGGAAGTTAAACTATGGGAGCCATTGTTTATTGGTATGGTCAATAATTTTAAGATAGCAACAAGAAACTAAGTCTTTAGCTGGGCTCAATGGCACATGCCTCTAATCCTAGTGACTTGGGAAGCTGATACAGGAGGATCACAAATTCAAGGCCAGCCTCAGCAACTTAGTGAAGACCTAAGCAACTTAATGAGACCATGTCTCAAAAAAATAAAAATGAAAAGGGATGGGGTCATAACTCAGTGCTTTACACACCCCAGGTTCAAACTCCAATACCAAAAAAAAGAAAGAAACCAAGTCTTTGCAAAATCTGAAAGGAATTACACTAACTCCTATAAATTAATACTTGTAGCTCAGTGAAATTAATAATTTGTTCCTGTTGCAGCAGAGCTCCTCAATTGTTTTTTGATCCTGCATCAAGTGATATGCCATATGTGCAAATTTTATTTACTACATTTGGTGGGGGGGGGTGCTGGGGATTGAACCCTGGGGCCTTGTGCATGCAAGGCAAACACTCTACCAACTGAGCTATAACCCCAGCCTATACTACATATTATTTTTATTTATTTATTTTTTAGATAGAGAATTTTAATATTTTATTTTTCAGTTTTCGGCAGACACAACATCTTTCTTTGTATGTGGTGCTGAGGATCCAACCCGGGTCTCACGCATGCCAGGCGAGCGCGCTACCGCTTGAGCCATATCCCCAGCCCAAACTACATATTATTTTTATACTATTGTTTCATGGAAAATCATGAGATAGACCAGAGAGGTATTGTGGGGGATTCTTGCATATATATATGACAAAATACTTAAAAGAATAAAATCTCTTACTTTTTAATCCCAAATCTTAGAATGAAATTAACTTTTCAGGAAAATGTGACAAGTTTGTCTCATGCTTTAAAACAGTGGTTCTCAAACTTCAACATGCCACAGAATCACCTGAGGAGTTTGTTAACATGTATTACTGGTTCCCACTCCCCAAATTATTGATTTAGTTGGTCTGAGAGCACAAGAGTTCACATTTCCAAGTCATATTGAAGCTGGTACAGGGACTACTCTTCAACCACTGGTTTATAAGATCTTTCAACCCACTGGGATTATTACATAAAAACACAAGTTTGTGTGTTTTCTTTCAAATCCTTTTTTTGTTGCTTCTGTAGATTCACATCTGTGAAGGTTGGTTTAGGAGAGATACAGAATAAGAGAAGGAAATGCCACATTTCATGAAGAACCATGGGGCACTTCCTTATACAAAGAAATAGGACTCCAATTGTTGAGTAACTCAGCTCCTTCCATTGGAGAGCAATAATAGTGTTACTCTAAAGTCCACCAACTTAGAATTTTTCCTTTAAGCTATCTTAAATATAATTTGGTGTTAAAAACAATGTGTTTTTTGTTTTTTTTTTTTTTTTTTTTTTACTTTTTTTTTGTGAGGGGCACTTAAAGGGAATTTAACCCAGGGACATTTTACCACTGAGCTACATCCCCAGTCCTTTTTTTTTTTTGGAACGGGGTCTTGCTGAGTGGCTAAAGTAGACCTCAAACTTGCAATCTTCTCGTCTCAGCGCTCCAAATTGCTTTAATTACAAACATACGCCTACACCCTATGTGAAAAATGTATTTGTAAAATCTTGTCTTCTAATGTAGAAATTATTTCAGATTACTAATAAATTTTATTTACCCTCAGTTTCCCTCTCTAGTGAAACTTGACTTGTTCTCGAAAAAGTTATTAGAGAAATATTATTTAAAGACTAAATGCTTTACTGTAGTCTTCTCAAAGGGAGAGGGTGATATATATGTGTTTACTTTCTTAAAGATTTTCAGTAATACTATGATTGTCTTCACTGTATTCTTTCCTCAGTTTCTTATAGAGAGAAGATAATCAAGAACTGGAGAATGAACTTTTCTATCAGCAATATATTTCTCCATAATTCAAAAGTAAATTAATAATGATTATTTTGGGTTAAAGAAGATGCCTAATTTTTTTGTCCTAAACTTGTTTATTGCCAGATAAATTGGGTACCATTCAATGTTCTGAACAATGGCCAATATTCTTTTTCTTTTTTATGTCTGTTTTTAGTACACTCAGAAGAAGCCTTGTTTTTACTGGCAACCTGTTATTACCGCTCAGGAAAGGCGTACAAAGCATATAGACTCTTGAAAGGACACAGTTGTACTACACCACAGTGTAAATACCTGCTTGCAAAATGTTGTGTTGATCTCAGCAAGTAAGTTTTAAAATCTTTTCTAATTTTGTTCTTTTTATACTATAAAATTTTGGATAAAATTCTTCTGACAAATTAAACTGTGATTAATCCTCTTTTCTCCTTTTTTAGTAGTAGAAAGCTGTTCAGTAACATTTTAAATGTTTACATTGTTGCTTATCACATTGTTTTTGTTATAGAGAGATTTCATTGTTATGGTGATATCAGAATTTAACTTTTGGAGAAGTGTAAGTTATAATTATTCTTATCAATTTCAAAAATTATCACAAATATTATTTCCTTTCCTTTGTTTTCAGTGTTAGGCCACTTTGAATAAGGATGATGTATCTTGATGGTTGTGTAGTTTTATTTCAAAATCCAAATTCTTTTTTTTTTTTTGGTGGGGGAACTACTACTGTATACCCTTTTGAAGCAAGGGCACTTACTTTTTTCCTTATTTACAGTTTAGTCAAGTTCCTATTCCAAATCTGGTGGCAGCTCGAGAAATAGATAAACCATCAAGTTCAATTAAACTCTTTCCTGTGCTGTAGAAGGTGGGATAATGATAAAAGTGGCTAAACAGATATTTGTAAAAGCCTGTGTGTATATTTTGTTCATTGGAGGATGTAAATAAGTCTCATAAAGTCACCATATATTTATAAATTATAACTATACCATATTATTTGTCCAGTGACTGATGACTTGTTAATTAGGGATAGCTAAAGTAACTATAAAATTTCTGGAACATTTGTTATTAGATTATTTTAAATTCCAAAAATTTTAATGCTTAAGTCTTAAAAACTGACTTTCTTAATTTGCCAATTAGTCTCAAACCAATTTCTAAATTGTCGTTCTTTTTTTTTTACTTGTAGTTGGACACAATGCCTTTATTTTATTTATTGTTATGTGGTGCTGAGGATCGAACCCAGCGCCTTGCACATGCTGGGCGCACGCTCTACCACTGTGCCACAACCCCAGCCCCCTAAATTGATGTTCTTATCCTATTTATAAATGTTTATATATATTGTGTGTGTGTGTTTTAGTCTTACTAGGAGAAAACAAAAAAGTCCCATTAATAGTGAAAGGATGTAATCAGGATATGCTGTTAACCTACTTGAGAGTTTTCCACATGGTAATTTTAATTAATTATTAATCAAAAACTTTAAAACTCTGGCCTGGCAAAAAAATTTTTTTTAATCAAGAAAACATAATTGACAAAAAGAGATGAAGTGCTACTCAGATTTCATTCATAAAACTTAAAATGATTAAAGCTATGAGTATTAGTCTTATTTAATTTGCTTGTACATTCCTATTTCAAGGAATTATAAAACTAAGGATGACCGTACTTGTTAGTAAAGAACCATTCATATTTCCCCCCGGTAAAATGATCATCTTCTATTTCTTCTGACATGAGTAATGATTGATTATATTGCTTAGACTAGATGTCTACATAGAAACCAAATTTAGGTCTGGGGATAGAACTCAGTTGGTAGAGTGCTTGTCTTGCATGCAGAAGGTTCTGGGTTCAATCCCCAGCATCACAAAGAAAGAAAGAAATTAAATTTAATGAGTTAAAAAATGTCAGAAGAAACTGAAATTGTAAAGACAATAATTTTCTTCTTCCCAAATAATTTGAAGTACATGTTTACTGCTATTCTAAAAGTACCATAAACTATTTTTTTGTTTTTTAAAGAGAAAGAGAATTTTAATATTTATTTTTTAGTTTTCGGCGGGCACAACATCTTTGTATGTGGTGCTGAGGATTGAACCCGGGCCACATGCATGCCAGGCGAGCGCGCTACCACTTGAGCCACATCCCCAGCCCCCATAAACTTTTACTTTATCTGTCTCCATATTTAAGACACATATTGGTAATGATGGTGTCTTCATGAAGTGCTTTTTATATTTGATGTTTTTTAATCTATAAATTTATATTTTGAAGGCTTGCAGAGGGAGAACAGATCTTGTCTGGTGGAGTGTTTAATAAGCAGAAAAACCATGATGATATTGTTACTGAGTTTGGTGATTCAGCTTGCTTTACTCTTTCATTGTTGGGACATGTATATTGGTAAGTAAGAATGATTCAAACTACCAGAAATGTTTCCTGTATGAGAATGCTTTGTAGTTTAAAACACCTGTGTTGAGGGGATGGGGCTGTGGCTCAGTGGTAGTACGCTTTCCTGACATATGTGAGGCACTGGGTTCGATTTTAGCACTGCATATAAATTATAAAGGTCTATCAACAACTAAAAATTTTTTTTTTAAAAAGCTGTTGATCTATGTTGTCAAATATAACATGGCTGAATAGTACAAAATCTTCTGATTCCTTGACCTTGTTAAACCAGTTAAATAGTAAAGTTGTGGATCGCATTTTTTAGCTTTAATGATAATTAACTACAGCAGTACTGCTTAACAACTGAATAAATACAATGTTAATTTTTTTTTCTCTGATGTTAAATAACACTGCTATTCCTTAGAGGCTTGAATATAAATTTCAGTAATAAAGAATGACAGTTATCATCTGGCATATCATAACAATTTTTAAAAAATATTTTTAGTTGTTGATGGATATAATACCTTTATTTATTTATCTTTATGTTGTGTGAGGATCAAACCAAGTGCCTCACTGGTGCTAGGTGAATGCTCTACCTCTGAGCCACAACCCCAGCCCCATATCATAACAATTTTGAAGTATGTCAAAAGAAATCTCTTACAATGGCAGTTGAAATAATAGTGATTATAGAAATAGTTCTTTAAATCTACTTATTTTATTTTTTTAATATTTTTTTTTTTTAGTTGTAGTTGGACACAATGCCTTTATTTTATTTATTTATTTTTATGTGGGGCTGAGGATCAAACCCAGGGCCTTGCATGTGTTAGGCGAGTGCTGTACTGCTCAGCCCCAGCCCCTAAATCTATTTAAAGTTTCAAGAAAAGTGAGTATGAAATCAAAGTTACTACAATAATAATATTATTCAATAATATTATTGAACAATAATAATATTGTTCTTACTCATTTTCATTCTGAAATACTTCTGAAGTAGTGGGTTGAGATACAATTAGGATAGTAGAAGTTGCTCACAACTGCCCAAGGGAGCACTTTGTATATCTAAATGTCATCTGTTGTATGAGAAGTAATAGAGGACTGCTTATTTAAAGAACCAGAATAGCATCTGTTTTAAGATAAATCAAGACAAATGAGTTTTTTTTTTTTAATATTTACTTTTTAGTTGTACTTGGACACCACACCTTTATTTATTTTTATTTGGTGCTGAGGATCGAACCCAGGGTCTTGCATGTGCGAGGCAAGCGCTCTACCGCTGAGTCACAACCCCAGCCCCAAGACAAATGAATATTGTATTAAGAAAAATAAACTTGCCCAGCCAAGTGTTGCCTATAATCCCAGGGGCTCAGGAGGCTGAGGCAGGAGGATCACAAGTTCAAAACCAGCCTTAGCAATTTAGTGAGGCCCTAACCAACTCAGTGAGACCCTGTTTCTAAATAAAATACAAAAATAGAGCTGGGTGTGTGTCCCTGAGTTCAATCCCCAGGTACCAAAAAAAAAGAGGAAAATAAAAAACTTGAAAATGACTTTTTGTATAGAATTTAAGTTAGAGACAGGGTCTCACTGAGTTGCTTAGGGCCTTGCTAAGTTCCTGAGTCTGGCTTTGAACTCTCAATCTTCCTTTGAACTCTCAGCCTCCTGGGCCACTGGGATTACAGGAATATGCCACTGTGCCCTGCACTCAACTGGCATTACGTTCTTTCTTGTTGTTCATTCAAGATACTTGGAGATCTATCCCACATTATAGCTAGACACAGTACTTGACACTGAAAATATAAATGTAAATAACTCACAGCCCCCACCCTCAAAGGTTTATAATAGAATACAAGGAAAGAAACATAATAAAAGTACTGTGAATTCTCATTTTTCCACGTGTACAGATTGCAGGATCACATTGGTTATACATCCATGTGTATACATACAGCAATTCACACCCTATTTGAATCAGATGTATTATATGTCAAGATCATTGTATTGTCTTGAGCAACTAATTAAAAAAAGATGATTTTGTTAAATAAAAAATGATTTCTTTTTGTAAAACAAAAAAATAAATACTGTGATAAAATTTGAGCAATATTTTGTTTGTATAATAAAATAGTAATCAGTTCTGCTTGGTTAAGCAGAAGAGTAAGATGTCAACTAGGAAAAATTTGATAGAAAAAGTAAAAATCTAACATTTCTATATAACTATAGAACTTTTAAAGGAAAGTAGATGTTTGAAGACTATAAATTATTTGAGGGGAGTAATATATACCTGGGAATGCAGGATTTGTGAAAGAAGTCAAAATTTTAATATTCTTGAAAGCACCATATTCAGCCAGGCAAAAGTGATACATGCCTGTATTTCCCACACCTTAGGAAACTGAGGCAAGATCACAAGTTCAAGGCCAGCCTTGGCAATTTAGCCAAATCCTGTCTCAAAAATACAAGGTCTGGGGATATAGCTCAGTAGTAGAGCACTCCTAGGTTTAGTCCCCAGTACTGCCAAAAACAAAAACAGAACAAAACAAAACAAAAAAAAAAGATGTACCAAATCATTGGCCATTATTAAAGGCAAGTAAAACCATCATGAAATTCTACGATATACCTATTAGAATGGCTAAAAAAAAAAAACTGATAATAACAAGTTCAGCTAAGGATGCAGGATTCCTCATACATTGTGATGGGGATACTTATATATCATAGCAGCTTATTTGTAAAAGTCCCAAATTGGAAACAACCCGTATTCAGTGGGTAAATAGGTAAGTAAACTATTTCATATAGTGGACTACTACTGCTTAGCAATATAGAGGAATGAACTATTGTTGTATACAATAACTTGGATACCAATGGCATTGTGGCAAGTGAAAAAAGCCAGTTCCAAAAGTTTACATACTGCGAAATTCTATTTATGTAGTGATTTAACAAAATAATAGTGATGGAGAACATGAGTGATTCTGAGAGAAAATGTAACTAAAAGAACAGCTGAAGGAGTTTCTTTGGGAAATTGGAGTAGTTCTATATCTTGATTGTGGTGGTGGTTACACAGATCTGTAAATGTGATAAAAAACTATATACCTACAAATGAGCACACATAAAAGCAGCTGAATCCGAATTGAGGACACTATTATATTAATGTCAATTTCTTGGTTTTGATAATTGTAATGTGATTTTATTAGATATTATTAGGGGGAATTATATAAAAGAGACACAGGCACTCTATCACTTTTGTGACATTCTTATAAATCTAAAATTATCCCAAAATAAATAAAAGAGAACATTTAAATTTTAAAATTTTGGGGCTGGGGTTGTGGCATAGTGGCAGAGAGCTTGCCTCGCACATGTAAGTACTACTATTATTTTTAAATAAAATTATTAATAAAGTTTTGAGGGTGCAGTTAACTCCAGTCCTGAAAAGTTCGGTGTGTGTGAAAGTAGTTCCTAATTGTGAAGATGGAAGCTTTTTCCCCCTTCTGAGGAATATGATTATGTTATTTTTATTCACCATGAAGATGGTAAAGAATCCAAAGTGGAACAATCCTGCCTCAAAACTGAATTTTCATTTTAGTTGTGATATGCCTGTCTTATGACTAAAATTGCATCCTATAATCTAGATACATGCATACTACATCAATTGCAAGGGAAAACACAGGAAAAAATAAATAGGCAAACTGTGATTGAATGGAAACATGGAGTGTTAAGAATCTGGGGCTGGGGAATGTGGCTCAAGTGGTAGAGCGCTCGCCTGACATGCGTGCGGCCTGGGTTCGATCCTCAGCACCACATACAAACAAAAGATGTTGTGTCCGCCGAAAACTAAAAAAAAAAATTAAAATATTAAAAAAAAGAAGAAGAATCTATTGACATGTAGGAAGCAATACAGATCATAACAGTGAAAATAAAGAAGGAACTTTAAGCCAGAGGTAAAATAAAAGTACGTGAATTAAGGCCAGGTTTTTGTTTGACTGTGAAGAATGAGTCAGAATTGTCTGTAAGTAGATTTTTTTGAGTGTGAACTTGTGATAATAGTGTTGCTCTTAGTGCACACACCATGCCCAGCTCAAACCTCTCATCTTTATCGTATCATTTGCCCTATTTTCTACTCACTTGAAAAATTAGAAGTGAGGCAGGCTAATATCTAAGGAGAGAACAGATTTCAGGAGAAAAGATGAATTTGATTTTGAACATATGAAGCTTTAAGTAAGGAACTAAACTTAGATGAAATTGTCCAGCCAGCAGAGGAAAGGTAAGTTTGATGTCAATAAGTAGATTTAGGAATTATTTATCAAAGAGATTCTCACCAGAGAAGGGTTTATGAAGAAGGGGACTAGAGGAAATATCTTTATTTCAGAATTGCAAGAAGAAAATAGTAGAAGAAATAGTCATAGAATGGTTTGTTAGAGGCTTAATATAGTCCTCAAACATTGAGATTTCACTGTGTTTTCCTTTTCTAGCCTTATATTAAAAATTCCTGCCAGGTGCAGTGGCTCATGCCTATAATCTCAACAACTCAGGAGGCTGAGGCAGGAGGATCAGAAGTTCAAGGCCAGCCTCAGCAAATTAGTAGGCCCTAAGTAACTTAGCAAGATCCTGTCTCAAAATAAAAAAGAGGGCTGGAGATGTAGCTTGGTGATAAAGCAACCCTGGGTTCAATCCCCATTTTACCCCCACCCCCCAAAAAAATAATAAATCCCAAGTATTGATTTACCACTTCTAACTCTGTTACTTTTAGAAAATAGCCTTTTTATACATTTTCTTTATTTCCTATTTTTAGGTTACTTCTCTGTCCCTGTTAGGTGATTAAATCAATCCATGACAATTATTTTTCTTATAAGAAATTTCACCTGAACAGTCTTAGGCATGGACTTTGACAAAATTTATTTACATTTTTCAAAAGTCTACCTTCATTTTGATTCCTTCTTTGTGTGCATGCGTGTTTTTAATGTGCCCTAGCATGAAACAGCTCTGGCTGCCAATATAGAGATCTAGCTAAGATGAACAAAGGACTGTCCTCTGTTCCGCTTCTGACTGCTATGAGAGTAATCCCGCCATGAAATGTCTCTTTGCCCATTGCCAGAGTGTTGCCCACATGTTTGTTAGTTTAAGTGGGACAAATAGCTGGGCATGGTGGTGTACACCTGTAATCCCAGTAACACCAGTTGAAGGTGAGGCAGGAAGATTGAATTCAAAGACAGCCTGAGCAAAAGTGAAGCACTAAGCAACTCAGTGAGACCCTGTCTCTAAATAAAATACAAAATAGGATTGATGATATGGCTCAGTGGTTGAGTGCCCCTGAGTTCAATCTCTGGCACACACATTGTGCCCCTCCACACACCAAAAAAAAAAAAAAAAAAAGTTAGACAAATAGGGCAGGGCACAGTGACATGTGCCTGAATCCCAGAGACTTAAGAGGCTCAGGCAATCACAAGTTCGAGGCCAGCCACAGCAACTTAGTGAGACCCTGTCTCAAAATTTAAAAAGGGGCTGGGGATGTAGCTCAGTGGTAAAGTACCTCTAAGTTCAATTCCCTAGGACACCACCCCCCAGATTAATTATTATTATTTTCCTGTGCTGGGGATCAAATCTAGGGCCTCACATGCTAGGCAAGCACTCTGCTATTAACATCTTCTCCCTTTCTTTCTCTTTCTGCTTGTCTCCCCCCCCCTTCCCCCCCCCCCTTCCCCCCCCCCCCCTCAAAAAAGATGTAACTAAATTGCCTAGGTTGTCCTCAAACTTTTTTTTTTTTGGCCTCAAACTTTCAATCCTGCTTTTGCTGCCCACATAGCTGGGAATTCTGGCATTTGCAACTATATCCACTTGAGACTTCTTAGGTTTATCATATCATTTGCCCTGTTTTGTTTTTGTTTTTGTTTTTTCTTTTGGTACTGGGGATTGAACTCAGGCACACGAGAGTGAGCCACATCCCCAGTCATATTTTGTCAGGGTCTCACTGAGTTGCTTAGCACCTCACCGCTCCTGAGGCTAGCTTTGAGCACCTCACTGCTCCTGAGGCTAGCTTTGAACACCTGTCTCGGCTTCCCAACCCACTGGAATTATAGGTGTACACCACCACATCCATTTTGCCCTTTTTTCTACTTTTTTTTTTTTCCTGTGGTGCTGGGGATTGAACCTACTGCCTTGTGCATGTGAGGCAAGCACTTTACCAACTGAGCTATATCCCCAGCCCCCTGTTTTCTCCTTTTTTAAAGTAGAAATTTACAAGTCAGGCAAACTAATGCCTGTTTCCCCAAGGAAGTCTTCTCTATAGTTCCCTAAGATTATACTGATAATTGGCATATTAAAACAGATTGTGTATTTTATCTGATAGTTTCACTTGAAGAGGAGGTTCCTTTGAAAATGTTGGTTGCATTGCCATCTGGTCCTTTGTAAAACCTTACAATTTTAGAAGACTTGCTATATATATATATTTTTTTTTTTCACGTGGTATTAAAACATTTAAACCTCACACCAGGTAATTAGTATTTTTACTTCAAAGTGTCAGTGAATCTCAATACCCACCAACCCCTTCTGCCCTCCTAATAGAAATCTTGGGAGTCAGCAATGCCATTCTCATAATCCCAGATTGTTACAAGGTATTTATTACCAGGGATATTGTGAAGATTCCAAATGTAAACCTTTAGGAAAGAATTATAAATTTTCCTTTTTATTAAGGGCTACTGCTACTTTGTTAAAAATCAAATAATTTAAAATATGTAACTCACATTTAGAATTGCCATTGGGATGTTATATGGTAGTATTCAAGAAGGCAGTAAAAGTTTATTTTAATATTTCAGTTCATGTTGTATTTGTTTCACCAGACTTTTAACTTGAACTTTTCCAAATAATAAAGTTAAAATGGGAAGAAGGAGAAGTTGATAATTTAGGGAAACATCAAGAGGAGTGTTGTCAGAATTTATATAAGATTTATATGATTTTCTAAACCAAAAATTATCTTCATAAATGTTGGGGCTTTATAGCTTTTTTATTCTTTTCTTTCCACAGCAAGACAGATCGGCTTGCCAAAGGATCAGAATGTTACCAAAAGAGCCTTAGTTTAAATCCTTTCCTCTGGTCTCCCTTTGAATCATTATGTGAAATAGGTAGGTTGGTGGAGGCCATGGGGATGGAAGGGGGTTTGCATGTTTTCTTTTTTTTTTCCCCCCTGAATTTTTGGAGATTCATACAAATCATCTATCTACAATAAAAATATTTTGCGAACTAAGGACTGTTGAAATTGAGAATTAGAATCATATGATTCAGATGTTACCTTCCATTATGCTACCTCAAAAATTAAATCCACTAGTCTTTTCTATTTAGCCAGTTCACCTTAAATATTTTCAGTCCTTTAGAATAAGTTGTATTGTGTATATTATCACTAGCCAAATTGCTTTCTGGATAAGAAATTAATAGAGTCCTGGAACAAAAACTATTAATTGAATGACACCTGGACAATATAGAGTGTCTCAGTATATATGCTCTAAGCTATGTAAAGGATCATTTTAAAACAGGTGTCTGTATCCCCAGAAATACTTCAGTCTTTACTGTAATATCACCTGCATTTCACCTCTCTAATGTCACCTTCTACCTTGAGAAAAAAGCCATCTAGTTGTTTTCTGCTGTAAAACAAACATCCAAATCTACATTTTTCTGTGGTTTATTATATTTAAAAACTAGTGTCCTTTCAATTTAGTATATTTACTACATTTACATCTTTGTCTTATGGGTTAACTTTTATGATAAGTTAATGGATGGGCTTTTGGAAGGCCAATCTGATTAACAGAAATGGACAGAAGAATTTTTTAAAACTCTAGATAAGGACTTATTTCCACTTAGTTATAAAACTTGAAAGAAAAATTATTCCTCAGAGGCAAATATATTTATTTTTTTGTTTGTTTTGTTTTTCTTTTCTTTTTTTTTTTTTTTTGGTCTTTGCAGGTGAAAAGCCAGATCCTGACCAAACATTTAAGTTAACATCTATACAGAACTTTAGCAACTGTCTGCCCAATTCTTGTACAACACTAGTATCTAATCATAGTTTATCTCATAGACAGCCTGAGACAGTTCTTACGGAAACACCCCAGGACACAATTGTAAGTGTATTTACTCTACCATTCAAAAGATTGTGAAAAACTGAGAAAATTATCTGGGCTAAACAATGTGTCATAAATGACATAATAGAAATTTTCTGTTTCAGGAATTAAACAGATTCAGTGGATGGCATGGAGCTAACGTCACAAGGTGCTGGTACTTATTGGTAGGTATTCAGGAGGCCTGGCAAGTTGGCTGGTGGAAATGTGTCTCTGCCATACAGAAGCCTTGGTAATTAACAATTTTCATATACTGTGTACTAAGGCAGAAATAATGTAACTGTCTTTTCAGCAGTTTGACCTTTTATATTAATTGTCTTACTTTTTCTTTCCTCTCTTGAAAACCCTTGAGAGCTTATGTGTGGCCAGGTCTTAGAGATGTATGTTTTCTCCACAGGGCTGACCTTACAAGTCAGTAGAGAGTGAGGTTGTTCATGTGGTATATAAAAAGAATGGGTCCAAATTATTTTCGGTACAAATGGAGGTCTCTCTCTTCATGGGTTAATGGGATGAGGGATTTGTTTCTAGAGTTACCTGAGGATGATGGACTATCAAGAATTAAGGAGTTGTGAAGATCAGGATGGAAAAAAACCACACCATCCCATGAAATCTATACAGGAACAAGTGAACACAGTTTACCAGAAGTTTATCCATATCTGTTAACCATGTTCTACAAAGTTGTGAGACACATTTCTTCTCACCATTTACTGTCACCTGTCTTTCCCCAATTACCCTACTTCAGCTAGTTTTGCTATAACCTCTTCTATTCCTGCCTACTATTACTTTTCCCCTTGCTATTACCTGTGGCCGAGGCATTTAACTTTGTAATTGTAAAAGTATGTTAACAAAGCTTTCCTTTCCCTTCAAGGTGGTTATACAAAGCCATATATTGGCATCTGTGATTTTGAACCTGGAAGGGCTCCTTAGCACTAAGGAAGGCGTAACATGCTCTTGTATCCCTTCGTCAGGGGTCACTTATATTTGGGACTAGAGGCAGTAGGCCTTAGCAGAATACTGACTAGGAGTGAAAGGCTTGACAAGGAAGCAGACAGGGATGAGGGCCATGCCATTCACTATGCACAGAGTGAGGCTGTTAATACCCAGTGCACCACACAGTACTCTCCATTGCTCCTTGTGCTTGTGGAAATGGTGCTTATAGTAAAGAGTCAGTCTCTAAATTAAAACTCTGAAATTTGAGGTTTAAAATAGAAGCTGCACTTACAATGTTTATTCAATATGATAATTATTGTGGGTTAGTGTCCCTGTCACTAACTGGGGATGCAAAAATATCTATTGTTGGAAATTCCGGAAAGAGTTTTATACTTCAACTATATAAATTTGCTAGAACTTAGATTTGGGCTTTATGTTTGACAGCTCATTCTTTTTAAAAGGTGCATTTTTTTTCGTGTTTAAAATAGTGATCTTATTGCTACATAATGCTCTATTTACTTAGTTATAAAAAAAATTTAGCAATTGGAATTTAAATAAATATCATATGAAGGCCAGGGGATGTAGCTCAGTGGCAGAGGGCTTAACATCACATGCATGAGGCCCTGGGTTCAATCCCCAATACCACCCCCCCAAAAAAAGAAAAGTTTTGCTTCAAAGTTATCTGTTATATGGGGGTTCATGGGAAAGGGTGTGTATGAACAAAGATTGGCCACATGGTGATGCTTATTAAAGCTGGAGAATGGTTATTTTGAGGTTTATTTTACTGTTCTTTTTTTTTTTTTTTAATACTTCTGTTTTATTTATTTACTTTTATGTGGTGCTGAGGATCGAACCCAGGGCCTCACACGTGTTAGGCGAGCACTGTATCATTGAGCCACAACCCCAGCCCTACTGTTCTTTTTACTTTAGATTATGTTTGAAGATTTTCATAATGCATATAAGAAAGGGGGCTTCTGAAAAAATTAAATTTTATAGATTTTTCTGAAGGTTTGAGTCTCTGTGTTAGTGAAAATATTATCATAATCACCATCCCTCCATGTCATCCTCTTAACATGACCCAGAGAGCTACAAATATACTGGAAGGATATAATATTCTGAGTGACTATTTGCAGTTTTTAGTTGTTCCAGAATTCTTCTACATTGACTACTTCTTTAAAATAGTGAATCATAGACTATGCCGTGAACATCATTTCTCTGTAAGAGAATTTTTATTGTGATAGAAATACAGCTGTATGTGTGTATTTTAACACAGTTTAGTGTAGCATTATAGAACGGTCTTTAGTTTTCCTCCCAAACTCCTTGACAGGAAATGAGAATCTTTATTTTCAGTATTATTTGGGTAAAGAACTAGTTTGTTTCTTCATTTATAGATGGAGAAACTGAGACCTAAAAAGTGATTTACCAGACTTGTACTGTCAAGTACGAGTGTCATTTATATTCTGAAAATCTAGCCAAATTATTGTGCTATCTTTGGATAAGCTTACCAACCCCTGATCTTCCCTACCACCTCTACCAAAAGTTAAAAACACATTAAATTGATCATTTTAGAATCAAGCTTATGTTTTTCCTTTATCCAAGATCATATTTAAGTTTTGTATATTAAAGAATCAAGACTGTGAAAGCTTGGATCTGGGGAGTTTTTTGTGACAGTTGGAAGAGCTGGGTTTTTAAATTTTTTTTCCCTGTATTTTTTATTTCTTTGATTTTTTTTTTCCTTCTTTAAGTTCTGGATGGATCAATATTTCATTTTTCAGTGTGGGTTTTTTTTTGGGGGGGGGGACTTTACTTCATAGGTATGTTATTAATGCCATAAATTGGAAACTGTTTCTGTTTTGTTGTGATGCATGTCTGTGTTGCCCAGGCTGGTCTCAAATTCCCAAGCTCAAACCATCCTCCTGCCTCAGCTCCCCAACCCCCTAACCCCCCCCCCCCAAAAAAAAGCCTGGAACTACAGAAGCACCTCATTGTGCCCAGCTGGTTATTTATTTGGTTTTGTTTTTTGTGGTGCCCCAGGGCCTCCTGTATGCTAAGCATGCACTCTATTACTGGGCTACACCCCCAGGCCTCAGCACATTTTGGCTAAAAGTTTTCATTGTGAAATATCATCTAGTCAAAGGCCCTAATCGTTCAAAAATATTTTGTTAAGAAAAATAAGATAAGTGAACAAACTTCTTTTAAAGAAAAAAAAATGCTGTGTACAGCAGCACAAGTCTATATTCCCAGCTGCTCACGAGGTTGAGGCAGGAGAATTGCTTGATACCAGTAGTTCAAGTACAAGTTGAACTACCTCACAAAACAAATGAACAGACAGACAAAAAAGAAAAGAGAGAAAGCCTTTCATTTGAACTAAACTTAACAAAGATGGAAAATAGGAGAAGGAACATCTGCCTCTCGCCTTTTATGGTCCCCTTAAGCTCTAAGTTTAGATTTTTATCCCAGGTGTACAGTGAGGGTCCAAAATAAGAGTTTTTCATAGAATGGGTTTTGCCAGCACAAAATCAACAGAAATTGATCTGTTTTCTTCAGAATTTTACCTTCTAGTTGTGCCAAAGCTAAGACTCCAGGTGTATTTGTTTGGTTTCCTGAATGCCCAGAAGCACTTAACTTTCCATACCTTACAATTTGGTGTAGTCAGCTGTCCTCTGTTTCTTTAGAGACCATTGGTGGGGAGGGAAGGAATTTAGGTGAGAAACAGGTTGTGCTAACAAGTTTGTTTGGCTTTTGCTGCACTATTTGCCAGTAAACCCCAATCCTCCTTAAAGTAGGAAATATAAAGTCTTTTGATAATTTGAACTTTAATATCTTTTGATTTATTTATTTATTTTGTTGTTAATGGACACTTATTTATTTGCAGTGCTGAGAATCAAATCCAGTGCCTCACACATGCTAGGCAAGTGCTCCACCTCTGAGCTACAACCCCAGCTCTATTTTTGCTTTTGTTTTGAAACTGCTGGTAGTATAATGGATTGAACCTAGGACCTTATTCATACAATGCAAGAGCTGTAAATAGGAGCAGTGGTCCTAGCCCTTTTTTATTATATTTTGAGATAGGGTCTTGCTAAGTTGCCCCATCTGGCCTCGAAATTGTGATTCTTCTGCCTCAACCTCCCAAGGAGGTGGCATGCGCCTTCACACCAACTTACCCTTGATTTTTTATGTTAGAGTTAATTCTAGTCAACATTTCACAAAAAGGCTACCTTAAGAAGGCAGAATAGAGCCAGGTGCAGTGGCACATGCCTGTAATCCCAGTGACTTCGGAGGCTGAGGCAGGAGGATCATAAGTTCAAAGCCATCCTCAGCTACTAAGTGAGGCCCTAAACAAATCAGTGAGACTCTGTCTTTAAACAAAAAGTAAAAAAGGGCTGGAAATGTGGCTTAGTGGCTAAGCACCCCCCAGGGTTCAATCTCTGGTCCCCCAAAAAAAAAAAAAAAAAAGGACCCGCTCCATACCCCACAGAGCTCTATAATGAGACCTGAATTAACTTGACTTTTAAAACCATCTGTTAATTTTTCAGGGCATGGTGGCACACCCTGTGGACACTTAGTCCCAGCAATTTGGGAAACTGAAACTGGAAGACCATAAGTTCAAGGCCAGTCTGGACAACTGAGTGAGACCCTCATCAACTAAGTGTGACCCTATTTCAAAATTAAAAAATAAGCTGGGGATATAGCTCAGTGGTAAAGCACCCCTGGGTTCAGTCCCCAGTACAAAAAAACAAAAAACCCGCACTAATTTTTAAGGACTGGCAGTAATCTTAGTGGAAGCCATGGTTTTAATCCCCAGTATTAAAAAAAAAAAGCAAAAACCATTTATTGATGTTAGAGACATCTTTAGTCAATGAAAGAAAACCATTTCTAGTTATATTTTAATGTTTGTTGATAAAGTGATTGTAAAAGGAAAGTCTTTTCTTTTGTCCCCACCCCATTAAAAAATCTGTTGGGGCTGGGGTTGAAGCTCAGTGGTGTAGAGCTTGTCTAGCATGTGAGAGGCAGTGGGTTTGATTCTTAGCACCACATATAAATAAATAAAATAAAAGTCTATCAACAACTTAAAAAAAAAAAAAAAAACCTGTGAGGATTAAATAAAGGTTTATGTAGCCCAGTGGTGGAGTGCTTGCCTAGCATGGGCAAGACCCTGGGTTCACTCCCTAGTACCACAAAAACAACAACAACAACAACAAAAAGCATGTTGAATGACACTTGGATTAGGCATAGCTCCAGGAAAGGAGACTGCAGACTAGGGAGAATATTTTCCTCTTTCTGTAAAAAGAGAAATGTATTTTAATGCCTATATGGGCATTGCCACCTTCCTAAATCTTTTCATTGACTCTCATACTTTTCTAAGTTGATTTTAAATCCAGATATTGCAATTATCAATAAGACCTTTTATTTTGCCTTTTTATAGTTGTCTTAGATTTATATATTTATTTTCTAAGAATTTTTATTTCTCTTTTCTCCCAGGTATTTACCGCCAGAGTGTTTTGTGGTTGGGAAGGAACCACCAAAGATTTCAAATAAAGTTGATGTCTGGTCAGTGGGTGTGATCTTCTACCAGTGTCTATATGGAAGAAAGGTAAGGAAGAAGGGTGAGATAGCAGCTTGACTTGCTTCCTGGGTGGCATATATACATTGTACCTTGGTGTGGATTTGCTCTTGGAGTTAATCATTGGGTTATACTAAATGGAATCTCAAAAGTAACGGTTCAAAGAAAATACAGACTTACTAATAAAAGCTTTATGCATAAACACAAATTCTCAAGTACAGGGTATCTAATGAATTCTGCTGGGCCATTGAAAACATGCAGTTTTGCTGTTCTCGATTAGATCCAGAACATGTTTTGATTCTCATAATATGTGAAGGGGTTTAACATGAAGTAGTTTATAGTGAATAGTCAAGATCATTCTCAAGGGGCCTAAGAACTAAGATTCAGAAAATCCCTAGACTTTATTTTTAATGTTAATGAAAGTGTGCTTTACATTTTATACTAGGGAGGTGGTGTCAGAAAGTATCCCTTGCCTCTTGTCTCTGATTGAGGTAATGTTATTTAAACAAATAATAACCCAGGTAGTAAACTACATCTAATGAATTTTCACATTTGTTTTTCCCTTGTAAGTTTAACTTATAAAGGGATCCAGTTATGTATATATATTCCTATTTTAATCTTCAGTTTTGTGTGTCTCAGTGATTCCATTAGGCTATGGGTGTAAGCCAGATGGGAGCCCTGAAATACCTGTAAAATCTTAACATTTTGATTAGACTCCCCATACCAAGCTCTTAATCAGATGACTCCTTCCCATTTAACTTTTCCTTGGTCTTTCTCTTACCTCTCCGAATCATGGAGACTATTCAGGGAAACTAGTAGGGTTTAATTATTATTTATACTCTCTGATAATGTTGAATTGGCTGTTGATGGTAGTGGTATAGGTCATCTAGAAAGAATCGTTTAAGGTCTTTTGGTAGAAAGATGGTAGAGATGACAGTAAGCTTGAACTTATTTAAAGAGTTTATCAGGAAATGTCAATTTGGGGACAGATACCAGCACTAAGTGGCCCCAGTCCTTTTTTGTTCCCACTCTCTCCTTAGCACTTCTACTCTTTTACTTCCTATTTTATACTTTTTTCTCTGCATCTTAGGTTAGCCAGTGGTAGGCACATGTGTGTAGTGCTTAGGCCCACAGGTGTCATTCAGAGTACAACAGGTTGCTGGTTCCTGCTCTGTATCTTCCCCTTTTTTATTGTGAACAAAGCTTGAGATAGGAAATGCTGCTGCTGGTTCCTGCTCTGCCTTGTTTGACCTAATCCTTAAGCTGTGAGCCCTTTCCTCTTATCTGTGAAAGGAGCAAAATGGAAAAAATCATCTCCAGAATCCCTTCCAGCCATGGTAGGGGAAATGTCTTCCCCTCTCTCTTCCCTGTGGTACTGAATTGTATTCTCTTTAATTTTAATCAGAGACCTACCCTTATTTGCTTGTTTGTGTTGTTTTTCATATGACAGCCCTTTGGCCATAACCAGTCCCAGCAAGACATTCTACAGGAGAATACTATTCTTAAAGCTACTGAAGTGCAGTTCCCACCAAAGCCAGTAGTAACACCTGAAGCAAAGGTAAGTTTAATCCATCAGCTAACAGAAGTGACTGCTTTGCTTTCTTTTATTTCTTTGGGTAGTAGTGGATATGTAATTATTTGATTTGAAAATCAGTTATTAAAAACATTAGGAAAGGCATGAGTTAAATATTCCTAAAAATAAGAGAAGAATATTGCTTATACTCTGCCCATCTCATCTCTAAGTCCAGTGAAAGGAATGTTGGTAGGTGGGTTTTTAATCCACAAAGGCTCCCTAGAGTCAGGGCAGAGAAAGGAGAGCAATTCCATGGTGATGTACCAGGCTTTGAGGGCAATAGAAAGGATTCCCAGCCTCATTCCTATTTAAGGACTATCAATTTTGGGAGTTAAGTCCCATATGGGAAAAATGATATGAGTACTAAGGCATTGGGGTTAAACAGCAGTGAGTAGTAAACAGTAAAGTCTATACCAGTTGGTGAACGTGTATCTAAACCTTCACGGTGGCCAAGGAAACATGGAATGGAGGTGGTGAAAGAAAATTAAAATAATCAGTCTTGCAAACCAAGATTTCATTAGCTGTTCATATACTTGATCTCTTCTTATGTATTATCCAAAGCTACTTAAGGTCAGTGGTGGTCAGCTCTGTTGGTTGCCATGGTCATTCAGAACTTTAAAGTCGAAGCAAATAGTATAAGTCTAATTCTTTGTATGAATGTTTGTCTTGCTGTTTCCTCATGGCACACCTATGTGAAGTAGATTAGAAAGGAGTCTCTTTTCTAAGTGTTCTAGCTGATGTATTACATCAGCTTTTCCATGTATTACATGGAAAGAGGGAATATCTTTAGCAGTTGTTTATAATTCCTGACAGGATGACTTCTTGCCCCCATCATTTGGGCTTAAACACTCCATAACCAGTAAATTAAATCTGCAAGGGAGTGCTGTGTGTAGTGATGTACACCTGTAATCCCAGTGGCTCTGGAGGCTGAGGCAGAAGGATAGGAAAAAAAAAAAAAATTAAAAACTGGGGATGTAGCTCATTGGTAAAGTGCCTCTGGAGTCGATCCCCAGTGTGCTCCCTTCCCCCCCCCCCCCACCCCCCCCCCCCCCCCAAAAAAAAAAAAATCTGCAAGGAAGGAGTTCCATAACATTGCTAAGGCACATGCAGGGTTTCTAACTCCTGGGAGAGGACTAGAGAGACCTTCAGTGGTGAAGCCTGCCCTAATTTTGATGTCAGCACTGGACTCAACAGCTATATGACTTTGGGCTAGTTTACTTAAACTTTCTGAGTTGTTTCTGAGTTGTTTTGCTTTACCCAATCCAGAGACGGAATGGTACCCCAGGGAGTGGGCGACTTCGTCATCTTCCTCAGACCAACCCCTTTCTATCTGGGAGCTCCCAAGGGGAACTCCGGGAAGTGCAGGATTGGACCTCAGTTCCACCTCCCGAGCAGTACTGACTCCGCAGATGGGTCCCCAGACCCTGCCGACTGGGTCAACATTTTAAAAATGAAAAACCAATAAACCAATATTAATTTT